CAGTGGTGGAGCTCCCTAATTAAAACAAACTTGGAAGCAGGAGTGGCATCACTTTTGAAATAGGTTGCTTCCGGAAACTCTATGAACTTGGAGAAACGATGAAAGTTTTACAAGTGTTCGGGTCTTTTGTTCTAGGGTTGCTATGAGTCACGGCACTTAACAAGAACAACAATAATAAGAACAAGGGAGCACGTGAGGACAAGAGCACAAGCATTTATTTTAGTGCCCTCCATGTGTTAAGCGCTTTACCTTCATTAACTTGCAAGGACTCCATAAGATTCATATTGTTGCAGTTAGGTGCTACTGATTCAACTGTGACTCATAGTAATTCTGTGCAAACAGATGTGAACCTTGCCATATCTTGCTCATTTGCAAATAGGCACACTGAGGTTCACTATGAAGGGTCCATAGGCAGGAAGAACCAAGTCAGAGCGAAGAACCTCTGCATGCAGAGTTGGTGATGTAAGCAGCTATACAAACAATGTAATGTACACAGCAGTCAAAGGCTTGCTATGGTCACACAGTGTGGCTGTCTTACTGTTGCTGGGTGAGTCAGGAGTCCCCGGTTCTGGCATTATCTGATCACATCTACTTCCTCTGCTCACCCATCTACTCCTGCAGCTCTGCCCAACCCTACAGATGTTACCCTCCCTTTGACAAAGGTCTGGGCAGGGTTTTATGGTCAACTGACTGGAGGAGATTAATATCTGTTCCTATTTGAAAGAAAAGTGACCTGACAGTGCAGAAATTCTTGAACAGTATCATTAATATTACATGCAAGCAATATCTTGCTGAAAATTACCCAAAAATTACTGGAACAGCAAATCAACAGAGAACTTCCAGATGTACAGGCTGAGTTTAGGAGAAATCGTGGCAGTAGAGATATTAAGGCTAATGTTAGATGGATCTTGGCTGAAAGTAGTACCAGAGGAATGTCTATCTGAGTATCATTGACTATGCAAAGGCATTTGACTGTGTGGATCACAACAAACTGTAGCTGACTCTGAGAAGAATGGGAATCCCAGAACACTTGATTGTGCTTATGAGAAACTTATTCTTCCACCAAGAGGTAGTTGTCAAAACAGAGCAGGAATCACTGCATGGTTTAAAAACAGAAAGGGTGTATGCCAGGCATGTATCCTTCAAACACTTTCAATTTATTTGCAGAACAGATCATGCAGGAGGCTGGATTCTATGAGGAGGAGTGTGGCATTGGCTCCACAATCAACACTCTTGGAAGGTCTGCTGTGCAACACCTCTTCAGAGAACTGAAGAACAACGATATAAGTCTGGAGACTAAGGTGTGTCTGATTCAGACCATGTTCTTCGCTCTTACATGCTATGAATCAGGAAGCTGGACAATGAGTAGGTATGATAGAAGAAGAATTGATGTCTTTGAGCTGTGGTTAAGGAGAAGAGTATTGAATATATCATGGACTACTAAGAGAATAAAGAGGTTCATCCTGGAGAGGGTTAAACCAGGCTAGTCCTTGGAGGCAAGGATTCTGAAGCTCCATCTGACATACTTTGGGCATGTTGCAAGGAGGGACATTAGAAGAAGACCCTCGATGAGATGGATTGACTCAGTGACTGGAATAATGGGGGTAGATGCATGAGAGACAATAAGGTTGGTTCAGGTTAGAGCATGGTTCAGAGCTGTTATACATAGGGTTGCTGTGAGTCACAAGCAACTTGACAGCACATAACAACAACACAACAAGCTGTGCAAATAGGTCACCTGGATTTTTTTCTAGGGTATGGAGCTCTGGTGGTGTAGCCCACAGGAAATTATGCTGCTAACCTAAAGGCTGAAGCTCTCTGGTGATTCAAATCCACCAGGGGATCCATGGGAGAAAGACAAGCACTTTCTTCCCATGCAATTTGCACATTCAGAAACTGGAAGGTCGACTGTGAGTCAGTTCCAACTCCATGGCAATAAGATTGCATTTTTGCATTTTCTTCCAAGGTATTTGACTTGAGGTATCAACCTATATGTTAGTAGTTGAGTTCTTAATGCCCCAAATAGGGTGGGTGAACCAATAAAACAGATCAGAGAAGGTGCTGCAGGATGCCATGCTGGGTTTGTTCTGGGAGTAAGTGCAGCTCTTTTTTTAAAAAAAATATTATTAAATTTTATTAGTTTTAGTGAACATCTACAGAGATTTTGGGTTCTCATTCATTCATTGTTGCACAGTTTTCTCTACCCTCCTCCCCAGTTCATTCTTCTTCCCCCCA